GTGGCAATTCTTCTTGCCTCTGACTAACTCCCAGAGTTGCTCTCTCTCTCTCTCTCTAACTAGAGTGCCCATCTCCAGTTCCCTGCCTTTTGCTGACAGGCCATTAGATTTTTATTGACATGTGATGTTTCCACACAGTATACAAGAGATTCTCGCTACACTTGTCCTTTTATGCTTTTCCAGTTCTCTAATATTCATTTTATGCAATTCCACATTTTTAATTCACTCTATCAAAATAGCCAGTATATTTCTGAAATGACAGTTGGCTGGGCCAAGGAACATTTCAGTGGTAGAGTGTTTGCCTACTACAGGAGAGGCATCTCATTAGGAGGAGAAACTTCAAAGATCCCATACAGTCTGGAATCTGGATATTTTGTGATGTCACAGTTCTTATCCTCTTCTGTCACTCACTCGTGTCCACTGTGGAGGGCAGAGTCTCTTTGCTAGTCCAAGCTTGCCCACTTCATCCAATTTGCTCTCCTGTGCTTTGTGTGTACATGGATCACTGCTCCAATCTTCAAACTGGCTGTTCTTTCAAGGCCTGTGCCTCCCTTCCCCATCATCTCGTTCCTCTCTGACACTCATGGACATCTGGTACAATCTATAGCTAGATGTTATCTCTCCCCATTAGAGGACGTTCCACAAGAGTTTTAAACAGTTGTGTCTGCAGTGCCCAGAGTTAAGTTTACCACACAGCTACTGATTTAAATATTTGGGAGGAGGTGCACTTGCACATGTGCCAGTGAACATCACAGTACATGTGTGAGTATCAGAGGACAAGTTGTGGGAGTTAGTTTTCTCTTTCTACCATTCAGGGGTCAAACTCAAATGTTCAGTCTTGGGGCAAGTGCCTTTATCTCCAAAGACATCTTGCGGGCCCAGGTACTAACTTTAGCACAGAATGTTGAATAGCTGGAGATAAAACCAGCCAGCTACCCGGCCATTGTGCCAATCACTATCCAGTCTATAATTGTTTGATGCTCTCCCTCTGTGGAATCACATTGAAGTGTAATTTGAATAGAGATTAATTTGAAATGACAAGGTTTAAAATTCTTCACGATGGGTGTACACTCAGATGTCTGTTCTCCCAGCTGACAATAAAAAGATTTATTTTTAACTCATTCAAAAGGTTCAGAAACAATCAACTCAAGTAAGGGGGCCAATAGGTAATGTTTATTGAGAGTTGGTCACAATTAGACTCCAAAATTAGACTCAAAAAGAGAACAATCTAGTTCCTAGATCTGGTACTTACACCTCATTCACACATGATAAAGTTTCTTATGGTTACCAACAATGCATGGATGAAAATAATTGCTGTATTACATGCTTATTAAACAAGGTATAATGACTGAAAATGATCCTTCTGATTTTGTCCAAGTGTGTAAATGGCTCTGCTGCCCTTTTGCAACCTTCAAGGAAGTTTTCTTAGGAAATATTCTAGTCTTGATCCTTGATTCCTAAGAAATTAGTTGGTCTGCTGTGGGTTAAGTTCTTAATTTGCCTTCTGAGGGAAAAAAATCAGTAGTTAGTCCACCTGTGAAATAGGAGTCAGTGAAACATGGAATAAGCTCAGTGTCCCATTAGGGGACCAGATCACTTGCCTTCCATGATGACTTGTACACAGATCATTTCCAGTTGCATGTGTCACGATAGACCAAGGGAAGGGATGTAGCTCAGTTGCTACGGTGGTTGCTAAGGTGGTTGCTTTGCATGAAGCCCTGGGATACTTTTTAATATTCTTTCTTTCATACACTACATCCTGACTGTAGTTTCCCCTCCCTCCACTCTTTCCAGTGCCCCCTTCACTCTTCTCCAAACCTACCCCCTCCACTCTCTACTCCCCACCTCTGTCTTCCCCCCAGAAAAGAGCTCCCAGGGACATCAACTGAAAATGACACAGATGTAAAAAGACCAGGCACAAATCTTCACATCAAGCCTAGATGAGGCAACCCAGTAGAAAGAAAAAGTCCCACCTTAGGATAAAAGAGTCAGAGACACCCTGAGTTCCACCTGCCATGGTCAGGAGTTCTCCTAAAAGAATAAGTCAACAAACATAACACATATGCAGATGACCTATTGCAGACCTATGCAGGGTTAGTGATTGCTGCTTCAGTCTCTGAGCTTTCATCAGCCCTCCTTAGCTGATTCCTCGGGCCATGATCTCCTGGTGCCTTCAACCCTTCTGGCTCCCACAATTCCTCCTCCCCTCTTTCTCTAGGTTCCCTGGGATTCCCTGAACTCCCAAGCTCAAAGGGGAGGGAAGCAATGGAGATCTCTAACCTGAGTTTGCTCTCTGCCTGATATTTGGCTGTGGGTCTCTGTATCTGCTCCTATTAACAGCCTGAGGCAACCTCTCTGATGATGAGGGCACTAGGCACTGTCTATGAGTATAGCAGAACATCATTAGGAGTCTTTTCATTGATTTTATTTATTTATTTTTATTTAGCCAGCTACGTTTTGTTCCACTCTAGGTCTCCAGAAGCCCTGGGATTTTATTCTGAGCACTGCCTCAAGCAAGCATAATGGTCCTTGTTTATGATCCTGACACTAAGCATGTGAATGCTGAAGCATCAGTAGTCCAAGGTCATCCTTAAAGATACCCAAGACTTTGTCCCAAGAAGAAAAGAAGGAAATAAGTTTGTCTCCTTTAGATCATCTATAAATGTTCTGCCACTTGGCATTTAGGACTGTACCTTATAACAGAAGTGTAATTTTGTAAAACCTAGTATTATTTTACTTCAGGTGGGCTTGGTCTGGAAATGCACAGCCCAAGAGGGCCTGACCCAACAGTATTAACATGAACTTATCACTTAGGAGTGGGAGCTTGAACAACTGAACATTTTAGAAGGATCTTCATTTTAGGAAAAGACATTAAACTAAAGTTTAGGAATAAAGCCTTACATACATGTAGACAGGTTCTGGAATCCAAATTACATGGAATTATGCCAGCGGCTTGATCTTGATGGAACCCATATCAAGAACTACGAAAGTCTTAAAATCCTTGATATCCAAAGACTGCCAAGCAGGATGAATGCTAGACATGGGAGCCAGAGTAGTTTTCACAGTAACATGTACACAGTAGTACACGGCAGTCTTGGGGTATTTGCTTAAGCTGGGGGCTAGGCCAACCATCTCTGTAGGCTTTAGGTTTATTCTAACAGGTCACTTCACTTGCTTTAGAAACTCTAACTTCACACATAAAATGTAATTCAGAATCCAGGGACAAGCTCACCTAGCTTCTGATAGCACTTTAAAGCTGTTAGCTAACCAGCTTCTTCAACCTCCACCAGCATTCACTGGAGCTTGGTGAAATCTGTTTCCAAATATGGTGAACATTCTTCTATTGCCAAAATGGGAAAAACAGCCTTATCCCCTCACCAAAAGCCATCTACCAGGAAATCAGCTTCCCTGTTAAGTTCCCAAATAGACAAAAGAAAAAGAAAAAGAGAAAAAAGAAGAAGCACATTACACATTTTGTGTGCAGCTCCTGGGAGGCTTGTCCCAGTGCCTCAGGGCTTCAGTAAATGTGAAATCATAGCTCTTGAGATCTTTCTAGAAATGCTCTAAGCAGAACTTATTCAGTTGGGAAAAGGTAAATTTATTTGTACATATACAATTATGTGGGGCTTCTGTTTCTACACTTCACATAGGAGACTAAATTCTTCTTCTTCTATATTTGTAAGTTTGTGCACATGGGGTGTGTGCATGCATGTACTTTATAAATGCACACAGAACAGCCAGCTTGGGATATCTACAGGTGTCTCCCAGACGACTTAGTCTGGATTTACAGATGGCCTCTTTAGGCCATCTTGCCTAAGCCCATATCTGCCTGGAGAAGGGCTCAGGTTCAGCCCTCTCTGGAATACCCAACCCTACTAAGCCCACGTGTCTCTGTGCCCACTGCAGTAGCTCCAAGAACTTCAATGAGGACTTGTGGGTGGCCCTTTTCAAAAGTCAGCAAACCACCTCAGCCTACCCAAAAACTCAGCATCTGGGTTCTCTTTCCTCTCTTAATCTCCAGGATCACTGAAGACCAGCAGCGTTTGTCCATGCCTGCCAGAGAGGGAAAGGTACCGACAAGTTCCCAGCCTACTGAGTCCATCTCTCCCGGGGCTGAGGGAACCAAACCTGGTGCGCGAAGCCAGGCAAGGATTCCTCCCTTCTCACCTTTTCTGGGAGCCTCAGTCCCATCCCCCTGAGTGGCAGTAACGTACTTTCGTCCCAGGCTGGGCATCGCGGCCAGGCCACCCCCACCCCGGCACGGAGGCGTTCCAGGTTCTGAGCCCCGGAGGCTGGCTCGAAGGGCTCCTCCGTACTCCCCTCCTCCGAACTCGTCCGTCCCCGCCCGGTCGCAGCAAGAGGCCACCCTAGGCCTAGCTCCCGGGCCACCCCCTCCCCTCTCCCCCATCCCGGGAGGGGGCGCGCGAGCGGCGGTGACGTCAAGGGGCGCGCGGTGGCAGCACCTCCCCGCGCGCTAGTTAAAAAGAAGAAGAAAAGAGGGAGCGAAACATGAGAGGCTGTGTGAGAAGCTGCAGCCGCCAGAGGAGACCTCAGCATCCTCGGGAGCCCAGCGCCGGCCCTGCCTCCGCCCGGCCCGCTGCCGCCACCGCCGCCCTTTCGGCTCCTGCTACTGTCTCACCTAAACAACTCCCATTCAGCGGACGAGCGAAGTTCTATGACTGTCTTCTCCTCTCCTTCCTCCTCCTCTTCCAACTCCTTCTCCTCCCACTTCCCAACCGCTGTGGAAAGCCCCTAACCCAACAGACGCTGGCAAGGCTGCGGACAAGTGTCATCTGCACTTTATCTTGTTGCTCCGGCTGCCCTAAGACAAAGTTGCATAGCTCTAAGTCTTTCTTCCCCAGTCACCTCCCTCTGCCCCCGAGAGCGTCCCGCCGCCCCGCAGCACTCTCCTGGAGCTGCGCCCTAGTGCCCCTGCTGGGCAGTGGCCTTTTCCCCCACCCCATCCTCCTGCATCCTGCCCCTGCTGCTCCGGGCAGACGATGTTGAAGATGCTCTCCTTTAAGCTGCTACTGCTGGCCGTGGCTCTGGGCTTCTTTGAAGGAGATGCCAAGTTTGGGGAAAGGAGCGAAGGGAGCGGAGCGAGGAGGAGAAGGTGCCTGAATGGGAACCCCCCAAAGCGCCTGAAAAGAAGGGACAGGCGGATGATGTCCCAGCTGGAGCTGCTGAGTGGAGGAGAGATCCTGTGTGGTGGCTTCTACCCACGAGTATCCTGCTGCCTGCAGAGTGACAGCCCTGGATTGGGGAGTCTGGAGAACAAGGTAGGCAGTCCCCAGCCTCGTACATGTAGCTTGCTGAGATGAGAATAACGGCAAGACAGTCCAAACTTATTCGGGTAGCTCTGATAACTTTTCTAAGGTGATTAAATGTTCTGGGTGTGTGCTCTCAGCAGTATGCAGATAGCTCTTCCTACACTGGAGTCGGTTGTGGGGATGCTGGTCAAACTTGCCTATCTATAGAGAGAAACGTTTCTGTGGTGCCCGCGTCCTGGGCTGAGTAAATATTTCAAAAGAATCGAGATTAACAGTGTATTTTGGATCAAATGGAGAACTTGGTGAGGTGGAACTGTAAATTAGGGTGGCTGTGGTTTCCGGTTTATTTTTCTGGGGTAAAAAAGATTTGTTCAGTTTTCTCCACGTGCTCTAACTAGCAAGCGGATTGAATTATAAAGGCTATCCAGGTACTGTTGGTTTAAGATCTTAAACCCAATCTGAAGGGTCTAGCTTGCATGACTATGGTTAAGTCAGAAGGGAACTCTTGGAACGTTAAGAACTCAGAGATTTTGCTGGATCTTCTTAGTCAGTGGTTTCTCCGTCTTGTATCATGGACCCAGGTTTTCACTGGTACTACGTTGTCTAGGAGGATCTTGTCTAGAAACTCACATTTATGAGTGACGATATATGAACTTGTCATGCGTTGATTAGCTTATCCAAGAAGTGTCTGCCCCAAGTGCAAGAGGTCGTTGGTCTTGATTCTGCATCAGATTTTTTTTTAACATGGGATGCTGTGCTGCGTGCTGTCTGTGGGATCCTGTCATTAACAATCACTGCACGCAGAGATAAACAATCAGGTGTCTCTGCCCCCCCTCTTTGCCCATTTTAGGTTTAATTAAGGATTCCTCTGTTACAACCCTGCAGTTGTCAAGGTCTGAGAGACACTCGGAAAACTTGTGCTCCACTCTTGCTGGCCAGGCATTTAAAAAAAAATGCCCGGGCTGAATCTAATTTTTATGCTCAGTTCACGGTAGATTTCACCCTATTATCATGTAAACAGCTCCTGCGAATCAACATATGTGTCTGGGTGGTACCTCTCACTTTGTTTTGTAACAAAAAGCCATATTGCATCATTTAATTTGCTCAAGTCATGCAAATAGAAAAAAAATCAATAGGACAAAAAGGGGTCGGCTTATCCTCCTCCCCACTAAACTGCTGCCCACACACAGCGCCCTGTTGCTTATGGCCAGGGAATAACAACACCACCATTGTGTTTGTTAGTTGGTTCACTAATGGCTGAAACTAGAGAACATCATTCTCTTCCAGTTGCCAGCTCCGTCCAAATGTCCATGCCTTTTGAGGGAACGTTTGTCCAGCCCGCGCTATTCCCAGATGAGTGAGAGCTGTCTTGTGCAGGTTTCAGCTGAAGCTCGGTCTTTATTCTTACCATATGCAGCAGTAGTCTGAGATGAGAAAAGATAGTCCAGCACTTTATTCACAACAATGTCCAGCCTCCTAATTGAATGAAGCCACAGAAGCAGCTCAGTCCTGAGCATCTTAAAGGCTTCTCCAGGAGTCCCCACCCCCATCCCCAAGGGAGAGACTCAGAGAAAGGTGTAGAAATATTTACTCGCCATGAAGTGTCCCTGGGTGTAGTATACACTGCCTGTGTAAGGAGGATCCAGAGCCCCCTGCAGTGCTGACCTCTTCCAGAAACATGTGGAATGCAAACTTTATTCTATAGTGAGGAGAAGGAGCAAGAGATCAGACTGGGGAAGATAATCCTCAAGGAAAGATACGTTAGAAGAAAACTTAAGGAAAATAATTATTTAGGCAAGGTCTGGTGTGTTAGCTGTGCATATTCCTGCCTAAGCCCTTCCAATCTCCACCAGACTCCACCAGATTTGTTTGGAAAACGTGCAAACCAAGTAGAGTCCATCAGCCTGTGCTGCTCTATTGCAAGTGGTTTATAAACAATACTCAAATTGTTCACGGCAGAGATTTGGTGCAGCCATGCCCGTGGATTCGTGACCTACGTTCTCACATTTTAATAGTTTGTAAAACATGTTATTTTATAATAAACATTAGTGTTTCCTTTCCCCCATAAGCCTTCCCAGATTATAATGTATGTTAGGGTTTCATTTTATAAATGCATGTACAAGAGAGACGGGGGCTATTTGAATGCGCCATTTGTTGTTGTTTACAAAAGAAAAATACTCCCAGAAAAGATTTTTATGTTTCATCAACTTTTCAAGAGAAGTACTATGCAGAGTTTCCTGAGGGAAAAAATTTCTAAGACAAATAGATAATGAAAAACTACTCAGAAGATTGAGCATGCTCAGTTAAGCAGTTAGAGCCAGTTGATAGGCTAACAAGCTTCCCTTAGTGAACTAACATTTAGCTCAGTTTCTCAAACTTTATTACTGTGTTCTTATGTTTGAGTTCCTTGTCAGTTTTAATAATGTTATGTAATATAACATAATGTTATATGTTAACTATGATAACACATAAGAGATGCCAAAATTTAGTAGGATATGTTGTCTTAGCAAAATTGTTGCATACCCTAAATACAACATGCTAAAAGGATCTAATTCTCATTAGCCAAGTTGAATCTACACCCTATCAAAATACTCCAGTTCTTAAACTTAACTTGTAGTCACAGAGGAACAGCTCCCCTCTCCCTCGCCCTCTCCCTTTCCCTTTCCCTCTCCCCCCCCCTCCTCTGCCTTGGTGGTTTCACAGCCTAAGCTGTCAAGGAATGGGTGAAAAGTAATTGTTTTCAAGTGTGCCCTTTTACAATCATTTGTTTGCTCTGGCTCTTGCAGGGACAAAGGCTATTGTTGAACACATCCAACTAAACAAATAACTCATCCCAGGGTCCCTTTAACAGCTGCCTTAGTACAATGATCTATTTACATATTAGACTAAAATTGAAACTGAACTCTTTAATGACATAATCCAGCACTATAGTCCAGAGGCGCGTGTGTTCTGCCCAACAGCTGGACAGTCTTGTAGGCATATGATTTTTTAGAAATTGCTTTTCTGTGCACCAAGTGATCTTAAAGCGACATCTTAATATACTGTCATGTTTTTCTCCTTTTATCCTTTCCTGGAACCCACGTGGGTTCCTCTTTACCTCTTTGTTTAGTTGTTTGATAAATAGAGAGAAATATAAAGGGGTCTCTGGCACCTATTTCTCTGCCGATAAGCTACAGCCTTGGGCTCTCTGCAGTCCAGCACTTATCTTACCTTTCTTGCGTAGATTTCACTTTCCCCTGGCTAAAGATTAAAGGATGAACTGCCAGTGTTACAGATTAGTCAGCCACAGCCTTGGCTCTTCCTAGGCTGGCTGTAATCATGTTTGCAAGCTTTACACGAATCCAAAATATTTTTAGCTAAACTACTATAACTTGATGACTTTGTATTTGGCTTTTTAAAAATTGAAACAAGAAATTAATCTAAATTTCTTCTTAAGGTTCAGGGCAATGTCAGGCATAAAGTTAAGAACCTGTATGTCTGACATAGACACGTTGAAGGAGAGAAAGGAAGAAAAGAGAGGGTAGCTCTGCCTCTCTCTGTGCAAAGTACACCAGTACCCATCTGTCTAAACCAGTGTTGTTGCTTAGACTGAGTCAGTTTAATTGACTTCAGTAAGACTATTGGTTCATTGAAACCAAAGCCAGAATGATGGCTCTATCTATCTTCAAATAGGTGTTTATACTGCAGACCTCACACAGAGTAAAATGTTACCATCCTGCTGGCCAGAACAGCGTCAAACCTTAACAAGAATAATATTCTACTTGATTTCAGATAATTTATTGAACCCTATTTGTGAGACTTTTGATGAGGGATCTTGTGGGCAGGACACATTCCAAAAAATTGTAAAAGACAAAATTCTTTAGGCACTAAAAGCAAGCTCTTCCTGAAGAGCAGCTGGGAGAGTACGTGGGATCATTCTGTGTCAGCTATTTAAAAAAAAAAAAGGCAGCACAAATAGTCTCCATAAAAGCAAAGGTAATTACAGCCCAGTTTTCAGGGAGCAGAAGAGGTGGCTTCAGCTCCCTGTAGTTGTTTAGTTCTTGAAGAACTGCTATATGAGAAACCAACAGAATCATGCTGTACACTATGCATATTGAATAGATCTTGTGAGGTCTCCAGGCTGGACAATAAAAAACATTAAAAACATTCTTGGAATGCAAATTCTAAATCTCTGGTGTATGTTTTTATTTTAGAAAACTTGGATAATTTTAGTCAATTGTCACTTAAGCAAACTGACAAAAATTAAAATGTAAATGCAATTATGATTAGCAACTTTTGAATACTCTAAGTAGTTATAATATACACATGATTTTTTTTCTGAACTAGAGTAGCCTCTTTAGACTCTGGAATACCCAGAGAGGTTTGATTTTAGATCAGGTTGTCCTTTAGGTATAGGTTTTCTTCTTAAGACCCTTGTGGTATTGTAATCCAGAAAAACTCTGGCTAAGGACCTTGTGGTATTGTAATCCAGAAAAAGTTGGCTAGATTATTTACTCAAATTAGCTTAACTTGCAAAAGAAATACTTGCTTTAGAGAGCTAAACACTTTTCCAAAGTTTCAGACTTTTAATTTTAATGCATTATGCCAGAGAAATACTCAAGGAGAAGTCTACATGAAAACACTATAAAATAAACACATGCTCCGTCATGTTGCAGTGTGCACATAGGGGACTTAATGCTTGATTTAGGTAGCAGTTTTATTTCTCGGGTATGCTGGTACTGTCCCCTATACTTACTGAAGGATTCCTCAGATCAGTTTCCAAGTGAACTCTGAAGCTAAGATCCATTCCACCTAGAAGCTATTAACTCAAGGAATCTTCAAGTCCTTCGATTTGGTCTGACTGGTATAAAGGACATATCATTGTGTGAATAGTGATAAAAGTATTCTTTTCCATTAAAATTCATTACTCACTACACAAAAGTGTGTTCATTAAGCTCTGTATGTGTTCATGCATATAAAACGTCTAAGGAGCTAGCTAGAAAGTTTTTCCTGGCTAAGATATAATGAATGTTAAAAATGGGACTTACACCTATTTCGTTCAGTTTGGGGGTATTTTTATAGAACATGAAAGGCAGTGCCCAGTACAGTCTGTAGATTAGAAATAAGTAGAAGTTTACCAAAATGTTATTTAAGCACAGTTTTGAAATCATATTAGGAGCTTTAAGAATTAAATATACTTTTTACTCATGACACAAATAAGCCATGTCTTTAAATTACACTTTAGATAAAGTTAGATAAAGGTATCCAATTTTTAAGGTAAATACAATTCAATATATGCTCTGGGTCAGAGGAAGTGGATCAAACATTCAACAGTCTATAAACGTCTCAATTTTAACAGCAGAAGGACAGATTCACACATTTGAATTTGCAGTGACAAGAAGAGCTTCTGTGTGTCCTCCTCTGACCTTTGTCTCCTCACCCTGGCCTCAGAGATAACGTGTGTCCTTCTGAGAAACTACATAATGTGACATACTCATTCTTTTGCTCTGAATTAGACTTCTGTGCTCACATGATTGGGGTGGGGAGAAGAAAACCTGACAGAGCTCACTTCTCGCATGACTAACAAAGTTCACTTCTGATTTGTGACTTTCAGATCTTTTCTACCGCCAACAACACAGAATGTGGCAGGCTACTGGAGGAGATCAAATGTGCTCCGTGCTCTCCTCATTCCCAGAGCCTGTTCTCCTCACCTGAAAGAGACGTCCTGGATGGAGACCTAGCACTTCCACTCCTCTGCAAGGACTACTGCAAAGAATTCTTTTATACTTGTCGGGGCCATATTCCAGGTAAAAAAACAAAACACAACACAAAATTAAAATTAAATTAAATAAATAAATAAATAACCAAACATACATAAGTTAAAATACTGCCCAGAATCCTTCTAAGATCCCTGTCCTTCAAGGTTTGTTTACAAGAGTTGTAAATTGTGCTTTTCCTCCTTATTTTACTTCATAACTACCTTTTCCAAACTCTTACTGTTTATTGCTGTGGAAAAGAGGACTAGAGTTTGAGCTGACAAACAGAACACTAACTTTGTTCTTATGGCTTAAGTTTCTCGTTAAGATCCTAAGACAGGTGGTAAACTTTTTACACATTGGATTATCAACATAACTTTATATAGGCAGGTTTATTATCAGTAAAACCTTGCTGTCTTTTCATTTTTACACTCTGAATTATATCCCCTGTATCGACAGACATTTCTTGTTGGAAACTTCTTTTACCTACCAGCATGAGTAGGAAGGTCTCTGCTTCTAATACGTAGCCGACGTGGGATAAGAGAGCACCCATTGGCTTTATAGATATTTCTTTAGGTTAAGTGTGAGTAGGAATTCCCCAAAGTGACAGCTAACCAAGCACTTTACATACAGTGACTAATTCACACCTTAGAAACCATGCAGTGGGTAGAACGCTGAAGTTCTGTCGTCTGGACACAGAAACTGAGCCCCAAGAGAACACTCCTGCTTAGTCAATGCTGTACAATGAGGAAACAACAGAATTGCTGTGAAGCTCTTCTGCACAGGGTGTCACAGGACACCTGGTCACCATCACATTCCAGACTCTAATAAACATAGAATTAACACGGACATCATTAAATGTTTATAACCTGGGGTGAAGGGCAGCTCAGCCGGCAAAGTACCTACCACAAAAGCATGAGGGCCCGAGTTCAGATCCTCAGCATCCATGGGGGGTGGGGGGCAGACATAATCATGTGCATGTGTAACCTGGGGCTGGATTCGCAGACACAGGCAGATCCTGGGAGCTTGCTTGAGAGTCGGTGTCTATAGGATTCAGTGAGATGGAAAGGGATTGAGGAAGATAGCCAACACTAACTGCTAGCTGGTACACTGACGCATGCATGCGCACACACATACACTGCACACAGGCGCACACACATTTATAAATTATGCAGTTGTCATTTTAATTAAAGAAATAACATGGAGGAAGAACATAATTTAACAAGACAGGTTCTTAGTACAAGTTCACACGTAAATCACTCCAGTGAACCATTTATAAAACTAAATGGTATTTAAGAAAGGTAAGCAAGCCTAAGTGCAGTAGGTTGTGACTCAGATGATTCTTTGAAATTGCTATACACATCTTAGTACTTTTCAGACCCACAAACATATAGAAAGAAATTGACAGAACTCTCATAAATAATAAACACTTTCGGTTTGCTTGCTCTTTGCCCGTAGCATGACACGTACCTAACCCCATTTGAATGAGAAAAATATTGTTTTTATAAACTGTAGCATGTTTCTGACTTTTCTTAAACTAGCTGTCCCCCACCCCTTTATCGCATTCCTCAACGAAAAGTGGAATTGCTCACAGTAGCCTCCAAGGCCCACAGAGAAGTGATAACAGATTCGAAAGCCTGGGGGGTTGCAGCAGACTTCCTGCCTTTGCAACCATTAGCTGAAACTGATACCAGCGCTTGGCATCTTCATTTAACTTTATCACTTCACAACAAACACAGCATGCTAGACAGCATGCTAGATCCACAGCCTCCCCCGTGGTGGTCTTTACACAGTCGAAGCTATTTTAGCGTGGACAGTAACAAAACAAGTCTATAAGAGCACCGAAAGAGAGCTCAACAAACCGCCTGGGCCTGAACTGCAAGTGCGTCACTTCCCAGATGAGGGTATGTGGTGACGAATGACAAATTTATTTTTCTACAAAGTTTGTGTATATGTAAAACTGCTGAAGTGCATCAAGATGTCAAGTGCTCTTCGCGGCCACCCAGGCTGCCTTGAAAGATAACCACATGAAAGCTCCACTCCAGAGGTGGAGAGCGGCAGAGTGCTGCCTTAGAGACCCAAGGAGACCTTACAGCAAGCTGAAGGGACAGCCTTGTCTCAGGTCACATGCTGATAATACTTTTAAATACTTGTCCCCGAAGTGAGCCGTAACAGCACACACTCTTTGCGGCGTTTATGGTCATTGATTTATTAGCCAGCCCGAGTCCTGGCAGGTAGGGTACCATTTCCTAAGGTGCGATGAACGAAGTGCAAGTCTTCCCACCAGTCCCTGCCCCTGGCACAGAAGTGTGTCTCTACTTCTAGCACACTGGAGCTTTAGAAACGATTACAACGACAACTTTGTAATCATTTCACCTTAAGTCGACTCTCTGGTTTACTCCTCTCAGAAGTCCAAAGCCATGGGAAACAGCTACGTTGAGATTTCATTTTATAGGAAACTTGATCACAGTATCACAGCTGCTCCTACCAGTGCCTCTTCTTTCTACAAATCAAAACCCTGAAGAGGAAAAAACAAAAAACAAAAAAACCTGAGGAATGTGCTTCGTTAAAAAAAAAAAATCTGATAAATAAAATCAGGATCTACTTACTTCCTAAAATGTAGAAAAGAGATTCAAAAGCAGTAAAATTGTTTATTACTCTAGTCAACCAAAATGTTCTCCACTTGTGGACTCACTGAGAAAGGTAATTTCCTAAAATTTCTCCAGTGCCAAAATTGCTTACCTCATGGGTCTTTTCGTTGGCCTGAATGAGCCGAAAGGATATTTTGCGTTCAATAAAGCTGGTGTAGCACACTCTGAGAAAGGCACATAGAGACACCCATTGGTATTGCTTTATTCTTTGTCCCTTTACCGTAGTGATTTTTATCACTTCTAGACAGGCATGTCCCAGCAGTCAGTTCCAGCCGTGTGAAAGGTCTGCACCCAGTTAGTTCAATTGGTTTAATCCTGTGGCTAATGAGGCCAAGGTCAAGGGTTTGAGTCCATTAGTTTCCTCAGTTCTGATTCCATCAGATACTTAACACATGTGTCTTATTAGTCCCAGGGAGAAAGGCTAGAGGTACAGGATGGACACATTGAAAGCCATCCTCCAGGGCCTCAGCAGCTCCTCCCCTTCCTCCCAGGGCTTCATTGGCTCCTCCTCCTTCTAGTATCATAATGGATGAACATAGAGATAAAAGATAACTTCTCTAAAACACATAGTGAGAAATAAACTGGAAAAGATAATACACTCTGGAGAGTATTTCCCAGGCCAGTATTTTTATAGGGTGCTGTGTGAGACAGAGGGCTGGAGTCACCATCTTGGAAAATGGCTATGAAGTCTGAATACTTGATTAATAACCAAAGGTTTAACTAATACAACTAAAAGAATACTCTAAGTATCTCTGCATTTGTAGACCTGGCCATAGTGTGGTGAAACAGGCTGAACTACACACATACTTTCAGTAAAAGGCTCTCCTGTGAATTCTTACAACCAAAGGTATGAGCTTGGTCAAAAGAATCAGGACATCTAAATACACAAGTTTATAAAGATACTTTCTCTCTTAACGTTAATATATTCTATTAGAAAATTATTCCCATTTCCTAATATTTATCCCCAGTGGGTACCACTCTTAAAAGTGAAAACAGCCATAGTGTCTTTCATTCATTAATTTCCTCTCAAAATGGTACTAGTTTGTAGATACACCAATTGCTTTTAAAAATTGAATTTTTATTTTCTTATATTTACTCAAATAGACTTGGTTTTAATATCTTTAGGTTTCAATTCGGTGCTTAGCCACTGAAGAATAAGAGGAGAAAGTTATGTTTTACAGACAATTCCCAAAGATGAATAGATTCTCCGTTCCTTTCTGTATCTGATGATACCAGATTTTCAAAGGAAGAAAACCTCCTCACTGCCTCTACTAAGGAACATCTTCTGGCTTCCACGCCTCCTTTCCCATCCCCTGCATCCCTGAGGGCACACATAGTACCCTGCATACCTGTGTGCACATATCCTTGAGGGCACACATTTTTCCTGGCCTTCCCCAACTTGAGATATTTCTCAACAGCCCAAACAGAAATTGCTCTTGAAGAGACTCTGTCAGCAATTTAAGGGTAATACATTTCACCCAAAAGTGAGGTCAAAATGTTTCCCATGCTTTATCACATGGGACACTTTCACCCCAAGGTTGGTTTGTTCTGAGGTTTGGGCTGACGCAGGTCAAGCTCACTGGAAGAGAGCTTTCAGTATCTTGCAAACTCTATCAATAAGCCTCACTTGGCTAAGCCCCAAATCTTGTTCTTAGAAACTCTTGTAAAACTCTTGAATTTGTTATATAATTTTTAAACTCCGACTAAGTTACCTGATGCTTTTATCCCAAAACTAGCAGGCAAAGTGAAAACTCTAATTTGTAATGTAAAAAGCAGAACTTCACTATAATAAAGAGAGGGGTGAGAGGCATTTTTTCTGGATAACTAAGGACGATTGTGATTGCTTGACCTGACTCTGATAAAAACAGATCAAGAAGAGATTTTGTGTGATTTTTTTTTTATTGTTTGTTTGTTTGCAGTGTTAACATCAAGCCTAGGCTTTGAGTTGCTGGGCAAGCACTCCAGCACTTACAAGCTTAACCTAGACCCTGATAGAAACATACTTGGAAAGCACAAATCTTCAGAATACAGATGCAATCTTATGGACAAGCACAATAAAACCAAGATCAAAATTTTCTATATTTTCCCTCTGGCCTAAAGCTTTTAATTTCATATAAAAGGAGAAATGTACTTATAAAAATTCTTGCAAGCCTGGTTGGGGTAGGGGGGAGGCAGGGGTGGGGGGTGGGGGGTGGGAATGACTCAGCCAGTAAAGACCTGAGATCAATCCCCAGTATGCATGTAAAAAGCTGAGCACAGAGGAGTGAACTGCAGCCCCAGTGATGTGGAGACTGAGACAGGCGGCTCCTCAGGGCTCTCTGGGAGGCCAGTATCATGGAATCCAGGAGTTTCACAGGTAATGAGAGACCTTGCCTCAGAGACTAAGGAATGGGACAGTTGAGGAAAACACCAGATGTTGGCTTCTGACCTCTACACTTAGTTCTGTGTTCACATGCATGCACACACACCAACAATTTTAATATGATATAAACGAAAAAACATTTTACCCCTTGCTTAATAAATCTATCATATAATCTATCATGTTTTAGTTCAGGGGGTGTCAGTTTTCTTCTTAAGAAGATAGAAGAGATCACTCAAATGCATATTATTATTGGCCCTTAGGGGAAACCATGCAAGAAAAAGGTCTTCAAAATACTTGAAATAAGAGGCTTACTCTTAGCATCAGTTCCTTACTTAAAGACTGCACAGTGGGTCACTAGTTTAATATGGAGATTCTTGTTATCTCCATACGAATGCATTGCATTAAGAGAACTAGCAAACAAAAGACTACTTGTTAGGTGTTCTTTTTAGGAAGGTATTTAGTATTGTAGAAAAATTAGCCTAATTAGCAATGAGGTCAGCTCACAGATATAAGCTGGGATCAGAGACACAGCTTGAGGAGAATCAACACAAGAACTTTTAAGATTAAAAAAAAATCCAGTAAAATCTACCTTGGGTTTTTATAACATGCCTTTCATATATCCTTTCAAGTAGGCAGAACAGGGCCTAGATAAGATGGCTCAGTGGTAAACATCACTTACCACTTGTGTAACTCTACTTCCAGGAGGACCTGATACCCTTTTAGCCTCCTCATACATTGTGAGTATAAAGTCATGAAGGAACACACACATCATATGGATGGATATATAAATCTTTTAAAAGTACTCAGCATAAATTATACTTTTACTGGAACTCTTAAATGTGTTTAAAGAAGAAAAGAGCATCTCCCTCCCTCTCTGTGCTTTTTCCTTTTATATTGCTGTAGTCTGGGTGTCTCTGGGATTATTCGTACAGCCTCTAAAAATCATCTCTGGCCATATGCCCCATCTTTCAAATGAGCTGGTTTTGCTAGATTTCACAGTCCTTAATGAATCTTCCTACCTGTCTGTTTAAAGGTCTTCTACAAACAACTGCTGATGAATTTTGCTTTTACTATGCAAGAAAAGATGCTGGATTATGCTTTCCAGACTTCCCAAGAAAGCAAGTCAGAGGACCAGCATCTAACTACTTGGACCAGATGGAAGACTATGAGAAAGTGGAGATCAACAGGTCCATACAATTCAATCCTTTCTCTCTCTCTCTCTCTCTCTCTCTCTCTCTCTCTCTCTCTCTCTCTCAATGTTCTTTACTCTTAAAGAAAAAAAGTAACAAATCTGTGGTTTTGACAGCAACATGCCTGTGTATGTTTATGCTTAGGAGCCATGGGTTCCACATGCATTAAGGTCATTTTCCTTCATAGCAGTTTGCTCCCCTAAAATTATAGCTTAAATGCATTTAATACTTAGGCTCCTAATCCTATGTTATGAGCTTGGCTTCTCTGTGACTCATGGGAATTTATGGGCACAGTATTCAACTTGGATTTTATGATTGTTGTTAGCTTTATGGCACCATGGAAATATTCAGCACAATTATTATTAGCAAATCAGTTTTTCTTTATAAATAGATCTTAGAACATTCTCCTTAAATGCCTTCTCATAAAGGTTCATTATTGTGAGCAAAAGCAAATTTTAATTGTAGTCACTGAAAGATGAGCTAATGAGCTAATGACATTTCAGAATAAACCATTTGGATTCTCACTTGTACTTTCTGAGAAAATGATATCTTGTTATTTTCCACTGAAAAGGTGATATGACTTAGCAAAATGAATCATTAACAGTCCTTCCTGATTTCCAAAACCATTGGTTCTTTGAAGAAGTAAACCTTGGTGATACTGAATGCATCTTTTTGCCCCTCCATCAGAAGGAGGACTGACTGGTTTTCTCCGGTTTGTTTAGAAAACACAAACACAACTGCTTCTGTGTCCAGGAGGTCATGAGTGGGCTGCGACAGCCTGTGGGTGCTGTGCACAGCGGAGATGGCTCCCACCGGCTCTTCATTCTAGAGAAGGAAGGCTATGTGAAGATTCTGACCCCAGAAGGAGAGCTGTTCAAGGAGCCTTACTTGGACATTCACAAACTTGTTCAAAGTGGAATAAAG